CCAGCATCTTCTCTGACCATGATGGAATTAAACTTGATTTTAATTTCAAGAGAAATCCTCAAAAATACACAAATACATGGAAACTAAATAACCTACTCCTGAATGACTTCACAACTACTGAAGAAATAAAGACTGAAATCAAAAGATTCATGGAAGCCAATTACAATGAGGACACAAGTTTCCATAATCTCTGGGACACTGCAAAAGCAGTCACAAGAGGGAAGTTCCTAGCAATTAGTACACATAAAAAGAAGATGGAAAAAGGGCAAGTGGACAACCTAACATTATGCCTCTAAGAATTGGAAAAGCAATAGCAAGAAAATTTAAAAAAAGAAAAAGAAAACCTCCAGGAGAAAGGAAATGATAAAGATTCGAGCAGAAATAAATGAAATAAAAAAATAAGCAAATTATACAGAAAATATATGAAAGCAAAAGCTGGTTCTTTGAAAGGATAAACAAGATTAACACACCATTAGCCAGACTAATTAAGAAGAAAGAAAAGAACCAGGTAAATCAAATTTGCAATGAAGCAGGCAACATAACAACAGACATAATAGAAATACAAAACATTGATAGGGGATACTATGAACAACTATATGCCAAGAAACAAGAAAATCAGGGTGAAATGGACAAATTCCTGGACACATATAATCTACCAAGATTGAGCCAGGAGGATATAGAAAGTCTAAATAGGCCCATAACAAGCCAGGAGATTGAATCAGTAATAAATAACCTCCCAACAAAGTAAAGCCCTGGTCCTGATGGCTTCACCTCTGAATTCTATAGAACTTTTAAAGAAGAGTTAGCCCCCATTCTGGTCAAGTTATTTCTAAAGATCCAAAAGGATAAGTCTCTCCCTAATTCATTCTATGAAGCTTCCATTACCCTTATCCTCAAAACAGTTAAGGACAGGACAAGGAAAGAAAACTATAGACCAATATCTCTGATAAACATAGACGCAGATTTTCAACAAGATACTAACAAATCGTATCCAACAACTTATAAAAAAGATTATACACTCCAACCCTGACAGAGACTAAAGAACTTGGGTGCTAATCCCTGCACAACAGGCAAGGAAGGCCTATACTCTCCCTCCTATCGGTCTCAACTCTAGGGAAATAGTTACCTGTTCCAACTGATGCCACCCACAATGCAGCTCTATTAAACCTCCCCAAAATGTATGAAATACACACTAGCCTACACAAGCTCTGACCTTATCTGGAAGACAGCTGATCACTAACCCCTTCTGAATCACCAAAGATACAACTTATCTGGGGTTGTTCGTCCCCACAGCATTACAGAACCTACTCCAAAAATTAGAAAGAACAGAGTACTTCACCAGATGCCTAAAACTCAATGCAGAGATATAAAAAATATGAGAAAACCAGGAGATAGCTCTCTCCCAAAGAAACACAGTAACTCCACACCAAAAACAGATTACACATAAGAGATGACAAAAATGTCAGAAAAAGAATTCAGAATATTAATTGTACCAAAACTCAGTGAGATGCAAGAGAAGATGGACAACTGGTTTCTGAAAATGAGAAAATCATTCTTTGACATGATAGACACTTATAAAAAAGAATCAAACAGAATTTCTGGAGATGAAGAATACAGTACAAGAAAAATCAAAATCTTTCTCAAAAGTTTAAACAGCAGATTAGACCACACAAAAGAAAAAAAATCTCTCACCTTAAAGAAAAAAATCTCTAACTTAGTCCAAGCCACTGAAAACAAGGAAAAAATAACCAATAACGAAAATGAAGACAGGATACAGGAAAGTCTAGACACCTTTAAAAAGCTGAATAGCTGCATAATGGGTATCCCAGAAGGCAAAGAGATAGAAAAAGCATAGAAAATCTCATGAAATACTATCTGAAAACTTTTCAAATCTAGAA